CATCCGCATCTCTAAAGGCAGAATAACTCATCTGAAATACAGGGTCCTTGCTTATTTGTACACATAACTTGCTTTCTCTACTCAATGACATATCTCCTTGAAGAAATAAGTATTATCCATCTTTTTGTCATTCCAAAGTCCTGTAAGACAATAGCTTGTATAGAATAAGTATGTCAATCTTTTATACTAAAGAGATTCGTAAGTGATAAAACTCTCCTGTTCAGAAAACAACCTAAAATCCACCATTCTAGTAGAGCTCTATTTTATTTCATGTATTTGTAAGAAATTTTGTGTGTGTGTGTGTGTGTGTGTGTGTGTGTGTGTGTGTGTGTGTGATGTTGTATGTATGTGGAGGTAACAAGACAACCTTGGATGCTGGTTCTCATTTTCCATTTTATTTGAGACACAATTTCTTTTTGTTCTTCTTCTGTTTCTACCACCCATTTCCTTGTCCTAGCCCTGGGATTACAGATGCTCATACTGTGCATCCAGCTTTAAGGTGGGGTTTGGGGATCTGACCTCAGGTCCTCATGCATGGGTGGCAAGTGTTTTCCCTTCCTGAGCCACCTCTCCAGTCTTTTGATTAGTTATTCTCTTATTGGAACATGCCTTGATTTGTGATAACTCTGCCTTTGCTCAGTTGGTTTTCACACTCACTGAGTCACAAGGCATGGACATGTTTTTTTTGGTGTCAACATGAGTCTAACTCATGCCAGTGGCTGACTCTCTGGTTTCCTAATATTTTATAACTTTATTAGTTTCATTAAATTCGAAATGTTCAAAATGTTTACCTTTCATTTATCAGTGGAAGTAAGTACAACTTAGGTTGGTCTAAAGTATCTGGTTTGTTCAAGCCAACAGCTAATTCAGCCTGTTCAATTTCCATCTATACTTCTCTATTCCTCTGTAATTTTTTCGTCTTCTTTTCCTGGATGAATATTCCTTGACAACTTGAATGGTTTCTAATATGCCTTTCCCCAGCTCACAGAGTGTTTATCTTAGCTCTTGGTACTGAGAACTCCCAGCACTAATGTAGAGTATATTCCTCTTTGGTTTATTAGTTGACTGAAAACTTCAAGAGCAAATGCTTACAATATGAGCCAGGGTAGATATCTATAAAAACACACCAGTACATCCAAGGGCTTACGTGACAGTAGGCACCCAGGCCCCGTTCCTGCCGGAGATTGTTTTAAAGATTGCTCATTGACTGGATGTGTTATCCACTTATCTAAAGATGTTATCAAATGAAAAAAAAAAACACTAAGGATGGATGATGAGCTAATATTGAGATATGCACTTAGGAGAATTGGGTGGAAGACCTTTCTTAGGGCTGCTAGTTGCAAAATCAAGGATGTGAGCAGAAAGTGGCAAAACCCTCTTGGCAGTCTGGAAAGCATATTTCTCCTTAGTTTGATGCTTTCCTGCTTAGTGTGCCCAGTTCTTGAGAGCTCATGTCTTTTACATCCCCCGCAAAGCTAACAAATGGCATGGCCTGACTGAAATAGCCTATTTCTTCCAGGTTGGTGAGGCAAAATGATTAATGATTAAATCCAGTCTGTAGCAGGGGCTAAGGCGGGCCAGGGGATGGGAGGGAGGAAAAGAGGTCTTTTATAAAGGTCTAGGTAACACTGCTTTATACAGTGGGTGAAATATCTAAACCAAAGAACCCTAGAAGAATTTGGTCTGATTTGTTGTTTTACTTAAGAGACACATTGTAGCAGGGAGGTGGGATTCCTCACCTGATTCCTATGGAAGGAGTGTTAAGACCAGTGTTCATGACTTTAATTGTAGCCATCTCCTTTGAATTATTTGATTTAAAGTTATTTTATCATAAATATGGGTATATGAAATTCAAGGCTTTGGAAGGGCTGTGCCATAGGGCAGCTGATAAGACTCAGGTCTATCTTGACTTGATGTGAAGTCATATTAAAGCTTCGTGGTTGGTGAGACTAATGTATCTAGGTGTTTTCTGCTTGTCTCTCAGTGTGGGTAAACTCTTTCTGTGTTAGGGACACAAAGCGGGCATATTTGAGCTGACCAGCTTCCTGTGACAGTTTAATTGTGCTTATCTGCTTAGAGGGACAACACCCACCTTCCAGCAGTTGTTTCTGGCCTTTAAAATTCCCACATCTTGTTCCCTAGTGATTTTCTGTCTAATATCATAATCATTTTTAATTCAGTTTACATTCTTTTGTTGCTTGAGTTCCCACTACATATTAATGATATAAAGGATTGTAACTTAACATACTAAGTTCTTCCAAAGTTCTGTTCTGTCTGTGGACATTCAAACATCTCAGCCTAATATTAAGCCTTTATGATCTTGCATAATTTTGTGCATGGAAAAATAATTGAAATGGATAGTGGCTAGTATTGGCTAAAGAATGTGATTTGGAAATTGCTAGAAAAGATTAAGAAAAAAAAGATTCAATTATTATTTTATGTAATTCAGAGTTTTAAAAAAAATGAAGTAAATGAATACTTCCTGAGATGGAAGCCTGCCACTTTTGCCCTGTATACCTGACTTTGGATAAAGCATAATATATACGAGTAAGACCAGATTCTATTTTTCTTCTTATTTTAGATTTATGCCCATTTTTCTACAGTTCTTATTAGAAGCAGAGGGAGAAAAACACCAGGAAATAGAAGTAGTTAGAGCCCTAAACAATCTGAAAGGAAATGGCAAAGCTACGCAATTCCATATTTCATCGTAGACAAAAGAAAATATTTGGTTTTTAAATAATATCATCTTAAGAATATTTACACAGTTGATTTAACAATCTATCAGTTGATGCCTGTTGTATGTTTTAGATAACATTGTTGAATTTCCTTTGACTTCTCATGAGGTGAACTTGCCAGAGCAGAGAACTATGTAGGCAGGCACTCCTCAGTCCCGACAAAAGTCATCTATTAAACAGCTGTTAGAATGCCATGGCCAGAAGGCTTCAGCACACTGTGCTTTGTGGCTCAGCCTCAGTGCCAAGGAGGCCACATTCCTTATGTCACCCTCTTACTCTTGTTCTACTGACTGAATACCTGTAAATCATGTTTTACAACAGTTGGTCCAAACCATAAGAAAACACAGTGTGCAGTATTCACGTCTTCACACCAAACATGTTTCGAATTAATTGTAAGAAATCTATGAAATCTGAATGTAAAGGTGTTTTTTTGCAACTCATGGAAAGTAAAGCACCTCAAAATATTATTGATCCAAGTATTAGTCTGCTGGGATTCCCATTCAAAGTGGGCAAATAGCCACCTTCGAAGCAATCAGCAATCTCTCAGGCAAGTAGCCTAGTGCTGAGAAGCCATAGGTCACCCCTCCCACTGTAGGGTGGTGTCAGCAGGTCCGTGTTCCCCTAGCCTTGGCAATCATGATGCAGGTCTTCTTATAGCTTGCATTCTTAGCATGTAGCACTCTTAACAATGAATAAATTTTTTTTTATGTGAGTCAAGACATACTGTGAAAAACAAATCAATGTATACACCATAGCCTCTTGTTTTTAACCACAGATCATGTGGGCCTTAGTTTTATTGAAGTGATTTTAAAGCTATCTGTACCTAGATAGAAAAATACTCTCAAGATAAAATAGCAATTCTAGAATGTCGGTGGTCTATGCAACAGTTATGAAGAATGCAAATACAGGACAACTCATCCAGTGATGGACAAATGCATATTAAAGCAGTTCTCTTTAATAAGCATTTGAGTTTTCTAGAGAAAATTATATTGTAAATTTAACATGAAAGCTACATAAAGGAGCTTTCATGTAATGTAGACTGCACTTGTGCAGACCTTGTGGACATAGAGTAGACCTGTAGGTACACAGGTCTGAGGGACAAGGCATTGCGACACAAAGGCTATGTCTGCTCACAAAGCAGCCTGTTGGGAGCAGTAGGCTGCATGACTATGTACTCCTCTCCTCAGACTCACTGAGATAACTGAACTTGTTTAAACTATCACCCTAATGAAGACAAAGCACAGGATGTATAACCAACTATAGTAGGTCACAGCTGGTTGGTGGGTTCTTAAAGGGGAAATGATATCTAGGCCAAAGTCAGCATCGAATAGTTAAATGACATTTACTCATGAAAACGCTTACCAGCCAATTTGTACAATACACCGGACTTTCAGAAGAGTGCCATATATCTTTGCATGGCTTTCGCTGGGTAAACATGAACAAATGTCTCAATCCAGAACGGGTACCGTTGACCACAGAAATGATTCCACTCAAGTCCTGCTTGGTCAAAGAGTGTGTTTATTGAGATTACTTATGGAGCATCGCCAGAAGGCTCACCCCAGCATGGTAACAATGCACAAAAGCTGCATCCCCAGAGCTCCCTGCCCTACTTTCAGACATGTTGCCAACGAGTTTCCTCTTCCCTGCAGTTGTTATCTGTGTTTCTAAGTTTGGGTAGGGGACTTGGGAATCCTGGAGCCTTCTGAGCATCCTAGAGCTGTGTATGTAATTCTAGCTGAATCTTAGGAGCCTCCTTCCATGAGGAAAGTTTCAATTTGGAAGAAAGAGCTAATGCAATACATAGGAAATGTTAGGAAGAAAGAAGTTACATTTTTATCACAAAATGTCTTTCTGTTCATGCTTTATTTTCATTGCTGTTCAATGCATAGAGCAGAGGGCTGGCAGTAGCTATAGAAGATCAGAATCCCAGGAAACAGTCACCAGTGGCGAGGAGGGCAATTAATATGTAATGAGCAATACAAAAAGTATTAGGTGATCTCCATACTGTCTTTGAAGGTCCGTTTTCCTCCATAACACGGTTGGTAACCAGGAAGTTCTCCTTTCCACTGAAGGGAAGAGAATGTATCATTCCTAGAACTGGGATGGACAGCAAAGAGAATGCAGGAAAAATCCACGTGAAACATAACATTGTGGGGGACAAAGGCAGCTCGGGGATAGGCAGGGCCATGCTGAGCCAACAAAAAAATCCGCTTGAAGAAGATAAGTGGTAATCTGAGAAAGCAGAGGCATGTGCAGAGTTCATGGGGCAAGCTAGGCCTTCTACGGACCTCTCATTATTGATTTTGTGAGTAAAGTCCACCTTATACACACAGCAGAGTGAGGACTTCCTCACAGGACAGGAAGGGCATTAACAGAGGAAATCCCACGCCAGAGGGGCCAGAAGGGAGAAGAATTGCACAGGTGGACAGAAGATGGTTACCAAGGCAGCAGAAGAACGGCCTCCATGACTTACCCGAATGGAAACATTAAAATCCTCAGATCACGAGGCCCCTGGTATGTGGAACTACTGACCATTACAGCCCCTTTGGGGAGTGCAGTAAGTATCTGTGCCGAGGGAGCACAAGCTTCATTAAAGGAAGCCAGGGCAGAAACTCAGGCAGGAGCTGAGGTGGAAGCCACCGGGGAACACTGCTTACTTGCTTGTTTCCCATGGTTTGCTTAGCTAGCTCTCTTACACAGTTTGAACCCATCTTCCTAGGGACGGTGTCACTCACAGTGGGCTGGACCCTCTTGCATCAATTAGCAATCAAGAAAATGCTCCCAAGACATGCCTGCAGGTCAATTTGATCAAGTCAATTCTTCAGTTGAAGTTCTATGAAGCGACTCTAGATGATGTGAAGTTGGCAACAGAAATTCACCAGCACAAGACCCCCACACTTTTGTTTATGTGAGTTCTGTCTGTTAATATTTATTGAATTGTAATTAAAATTGAGATCCTCAATGTTTTAATATTAAAGGTAGCATAAATAACCAAGAGTGGTGTTGCATGCCTGTAATGCCAACACTTGGGAAGTGGAGGCAGGGATATCGGAAATTCAATGTCGCCCTCAGGTAACTAATTTAAGGACAGCCTGGGTTTCATCCACCATGTGTAAAAGAAACAAAACAAAAAGTTTTAAATAAAGTAAATATTTATAATAACTAATGTTATTTATTCCTTCTGCAAATCTTTTTATTCTGTGTCTTTACAGAAGACAGCTTGCTGACTTCTCAGTGTCTAACATGCATGCAGCCTTTTCTTGTATGTTATTTTGAAGGAAGTAGATGGAGGATCTACCTCATTCATGCCCCTTGTTGGAAAATGCAAGAGTATTTTAAAGATAATTCAGGTCACTGTGGTTATCCTTCTCTGATATTACACCAAAACCCACCCAGAGGTTGCTTCATGAGTCTAGTTGCAGTGTGGAATTGGTCCATACTGGTGAACACATGTGGTGTACAGTCTATTGATGTCTCTTGCACTTTCTTCTATCATAGAATCTGTAACCTGATTAGTAAGGTGAAAACTCTTATTTCTCTGAGTTAATACAAACTCCCAAATCCTAATGTATTTCATTACATAGCATAAAAATTATTTTCATTAAAATCATTACCAAATTCATTTGAAATACATGAATTTCTGAAAAACCTCTGCAAAGTAAAGAAATTATCAAACCTATGGTGACAAATATAAGCTTTCTAAAATTCTATTTTTTTTGGGGGGAACATACATTTTATAATGGGCTACAAGCCTGTGAATTTCCTTTGAAATGATTGGCTAGCTTCTTTCATTTTGAAGGAACTATCATCCAAATGGGCAAATCTGTGTGACAACAGTCTGTTTGCCATCATCAAAAAAAACAAAAAAAACAAAAAAAACAAAAAAAAAAACATGCTCTGCAAAAAAGCAGCAGATTTTTTTTTGTGGTTCAAAAATCTCATATATATTATTCTTGTAAAACCTTTATACTTTATTGTACTGCAAGTGCTTCATACCTACTGCCCTTTACATTGCAGTGTGCTTAAAAAAAACAACAGACAAAGGTATTGAGATTTAATATCACTATTAACTTCTATTGGTTCCTCAAAGAAAACTCTTAATTAGAATCGGTTTGCAAAATCTTATGAACGAGTACAGTTGGGCATCCTTCCTTGGGGCTGAGCTGAAGTTTTACACAACAAACTTCTGTTGTGCGCTGTTGGGACGTGTGGGAACTGAGAAAAAGGCACAAGCCCCATGGTGGGATCATAAACGTAATCCTGATTTCTCAAACACTGCAGAGTCTTCAGGGACCCCCATGAGTCTGTAAAACATGTCAAGGCTGTGGTCCTCAACCTTCCTAATGCTGTGACCCTTTAATACAGTTCCTCATGTTGTGGTGACTCCCAATCATCAAATTATTTTCATTGCTACTTCATAACTGTAATTTTGCTACTGTTATGATTTGTAGTGTAAATATCTGGTGTACAGGATATCTGATATGTGACCTCCGAGAAAGGGTTATTCATCCCCCAGAGGTGTTGTGACCCCTAAGTTGAGAACCACTCTTCTAAGATGTCTACCCCAGAGCCAGGTGTTGACTCCATGTACCTCTCAGGAACTTTTGCTTACAAATGAAATACTGGCAAGCTGGTTCAGTGGCCAAAGCCACTTGCTACCAAGTCTGATGACTTGAATTAAATCCACAAAAATGGATGGAGAGAAGTGACTCCTGAAAATTGTTCTCAGACTTCTACATATACCGTATGTTCACCCTTCCAACTGTGGTGATATTGTGTTCCCCAATATATTGTGCACCCTAATAAACTTATCTGGGGACAGAGAACAGGACAGCCACTAGACAGACATAGATGCCTGAAAATGGTGTCATACATGCCTTTAATCCTAGCATTCCAGAGCAGAGATCCATCTGTATCTCTGTGAGTTCAAAGCCACACTGGAAATAGCCAGGCATGGTGACACGATTCCTTTAATCCCAGGAAGTGATGGTAGGAAGCAGAAAGGTATATAAGGCATGAGGATCAGGAACTAGAGCCTTGTTAAGCTCTTAGGCTTTTAGTAGCAGTTCAACTGAGATCCATTTGGATGAGGACTCAGAGGTTTCCAGTTTGAGGAAACAAGATCAGCTGAGGAATTGGCAAGGTGAGGTCGGCTATGGCTTGCTCTGTTTCTCTGATCTTTCAAAATTTACCCCAATAGCTGGCTCTGAGTTTTTTTTATTAATAAGACCATTTAAGATTTGTGTTATATTCAACAAATTAGTAAATGTCAAAAAGTGAAGTAATAATTAGTATTAGTTGTTTTGAAGCCTCCTTTATCTTTCTGCCTTCCTAGAGGCTTTCCTCAACTCTGTTTCCTTTGTAATGAAGGCCCTTCCTAATTTAATATATCATGTATTTCTTATGTGTACTTTGTACTGGGAACTGGGGTACTGCTTTATCATTATTTTTAATGTACACTTCTTCTTGTTGGTGTTTAATTTTCTACTGCATAGGTACTTCAGTTACAAAAATTTTGTCGTGAAAATTCTAATCTCATTAATATCATGACTAATAAACCATAGTGTATTTGAGTCTAAACAAAGAAGCATCCATTTTGAGTCATAATGCTTATGATGGCTTGCAGACTCAAGGAATATTATCTCATTTATCAATTGCAGCATGAATCTTATCTTTCTCAAAGAAAGAAAAAGTCTTTTTACAAATGTAGTAGAAGTCATGCTTCCTCTGTGAACTGACAGACCATCCTTTCTGGACACGGATGTGAGCAGCTGTTGCCTGGCCCTCATGGAAAAAGCCCCATGCTCTCTTTTTTTTTCTCACTCCTACACCTATAAATTCAGTCTGTTCACACTTTCCAGAAATGAACACACAGTCTGCAGTGTCACGGTGACAGATACCAGACTGGACAAGCAACAATCTTCGAAATGCTGGTATATAAGCAAGTATTTATCATTTCTACAACACTGAGCAACAGCACACTGGAGGATATAGTCATTCCACAGCCATTTGTATTTCGAATGTGAGCAGAAAATCTGGTAAGTTAGCAGAAATGACATCCTTCAGCTAACCCAGACACAGCAGAGGGAAAGGTTGGCCTTTCTGATCCTCTTACTTTAAGCAAAGTTTGCAGGGGAATCATTTAGCACGACATGCTTAGGTGAAGTGTCAGTTCCATTTCACACAGTTAAAGTTTCACTATAACCCCTTTCACCCCTGCTAGGGAGAAGAGTGGTTGTTCTAGGCACAGGAAGAGACATTTAGTAGCATCGATAGGCAAGGGAGTGCTTACAGCTTAGAAGCTTTCCTTTGAGACTCTTGAGGAAACTGCCCGGTATGTAAACCAGCCTGTTCTTACTTTTCCTGTCCCACATTGCCTAAGTCTGTCATTGCATTGTTATGTGATGTGCGCTGATGGGACACAGAGCCAACCAGTTGACAGAACTGGGAGTCTCCTTCAGTGCAAAAGCACTAGGAATCATCGATTTTAGGGCACAGGCTACAAAATCATGCAATCTCATATAGCCAGGCTAGCTTCAAATTTTACTATGCAGGCAAAGGTGACCTTGAACTTCTGATCCTCCCTACCTCTACTTCCAGACTGCTGGCATTATAGGCATGTACACCAACAGACATCATGTATGTGATGCTGGGGTTTGAACCAAGGGCTTCATGCATGCCAGGCAAGCCCTCTACTGACTGAGCTACTTTCCTAGCTAAGGATTCCTAATTCATTTTCGTTTTTTTGAAAATTGAACCTGAGATTTTTGTTGCTAGCATGAAAACACACGCAGGAACATGTTATTCCAGTAACAACATGTCTACTGAAAGGACCAAGTAGACGCCATAACAGGCTGCTCAGTCTTCTCTCAGAGATCAGGCCTCAATTTCAGTTTCATGAGACTTGAGCAAGCACTTTCTGGGAGGGCCGTGAACAAAAGACATAGTCCTAGCAGTAGCTCCCTTTCTGCTCGTATTCTGACTGCTCAAGGTTCAGCCAGTTGTTTACTGTCTGGGACCCCTCACCAACTTAGAGCTATGTGCATGAGTCAAGAACAGAGCATGGGACTTGTCCAGGCCTGCCCCCAAAAGATAACTGTAACCCCCAACCAGTAAATTCAAAGGTTACATACCCTCACCCAATCATATGACACAAAGGCTTGCACCACCCTACTTGCGTTTTTTCCCTTTAAAAAATCCTTATTCTGTTAGGCGGTGGTGGTACATGCCTTTAATTCCAGCACACAGGAGGCAGAGGTGGGCAGAGCTGTGTGAGTTCAAGGCTAGCCTGGTCTATAGTTCCAGGATAGGCTCCAAAGCTACACAGAGAAACTCTGTCTCAAAAAAACCAAAACCAAAACCAAAACCAAAACAACCAACCAACCAACCAACCAACCAACCAAACAAACAAACAACCAAACAACCAAACAAAAAAAACCACATTTAGAGAGCTCAGGGCCGTCCTCCTCCACCCACTGTGTCAGAGTGTTGGAAAACAGACCACGCCTGGGGTTGCTTGTAATCAATAAACCCCTGTGTATTTTGCATCGATTATCGGCTCTGTGTTGGTCTTGCTTGGGGGTCTTGTGACACGGGTGCAACATCTAGGATATAGAGAAGGAAAACTCAGCAAGAACAAGGCAGTAGTTTTCCTAGGCAATGTGACCACTGGCGCCTGCGCTTCCTGCCACTGTACCGTCCTCTCCGGAAAACCCTGTGGCTGGTCGGCTCTTTAATGTATTGAAACATTTTCTTGTTCAAAACCACATTTTCTCCTGACCTCGGTTTTCCTTCCTTCCTTATTTATTTCTTTATTTTATTAATTAGTTTATTTATTTTGAGACAGGGTTTCTCTGTGCGCCGTGACTGTCCTAGAATTCGATTTGTGGACTAGGCTGGCTTTGGACTCTGCTTCCACAGTGCTGGGATTAAAGCTGTATGCACCATGGCCAGCCAATCTCAATTTTTCGTTCTAGTATCTATTTTGTATTTGTT